TGTTACCTGAGTCACTATCTTGGTGCCGATTTTGAATATAAGAATATACGAGGCCTCGCGTTGACAAATTCATCCTTTCACATTAGACAAAGCAAACGGAAATCTTCCTGTACTCAGCCATTTGATATAAATTGCTAATGTCTGTTTCAATCGGATACATAGGTCTTTGATGAATAATTGCATACCTCACTTTGTTACAATGAAAGTGAACACTTGTTCAAACTTCAAAAATGTGGAATTTTCATGGCAATCAGAAGCCCCGGCGCCATCGACAGCACTTCCATGAAAAAATTGTTTTCGTCTGACCGTTCAGTCCGAACTATGGCTTGATTTGCTCGTAAATTTACTGACTCGTCATGCCGTTTAAACCTCTCCTGTCGAGTTGATGAAAACGCCTTAATTTTCACTCTAACCCCAGTCGACGAGTATTTACTGTACAAGACGTATTTCTTTGCAAGAACATGTGCGAGTCGGTAACGGGGCATTCTGCTACATTGTATCCGTAATATTTCGCTCCCTAAAGAAGAATCGACCATCATCTGAACTGCTGGAAAATTTGCGTAGCATAAATTTCATATGCGGTGTATCCTCATAGAACATTTGGGACTCCTTTACAAAAAAGGCTCTGGCGTGTCCTTATCGGCTACGCACTCTCTCATCTGACTGAAAGAGTATCCATCGTAAATGACGCGTTGCACAAAATGAGAGTGGTCATGTGTTTCAAGGAGACTGCAGAAAAGTTAGCCTCTGGAAGGATATTCAATTTCCATTGTGTCTTACTAACTCACATTTTATTTCAGTCTCCCCTGCCAAAGCCGCAAATTAGATCCACCGCTTCCTGCGGGTTGTTTCGCACACTCGTTTTAAATGAAAGCATCGTAACCTGATGACATTTCGTAGCAGGTAATTAACCTCGTGTCATGAGATGTCTTATGATTCGATCAAATACACTGGGTGCACATGGGAAAGTTTCCGCAGGTTTGCTCTGCTGCTGCTTCAAATAGCATAATTCGATTTTACTTAACGTTTTCTTACATTTGCTTCTCTTCGTTTCGTTGTTGATGCCTTTTTATGATCGTATGACACCTGATTATATGAAAATATCGTTCTCCTTGAGATTCTTATTGTAGATCATATTTTCCATTTTGTCACAAGCCTGTTTCAAAACAGTTTTTATGACTACCACCTCTAAATGCTACTTTTTGTTTTGCTGTTAATTTCAATGATGGATTGTATTATTTATTCAGTAAAAACATTTACAGAGGACGAACGAGAAAACGAGGTGCAAATTAAAGGTGAACAATTTTTTTCGCGTTCGCCCTTTTGTGTGCTTTCAGACGACTGCTGCCTACACTAGAGAGTACCTAATGATATAACATGTTCATGAGACGCAGATAAAACGAAAAGGGCATTCTCTACTTAATTATGAGCTGTTACAGTTGAAAGGCACTGTTTTGACGATGAAAACGATGAAAGATCATGATAGACTGGCACGTGACATCGGTCTCTCTGGTGATTTACGACTTAGGACGTACGAAGCAAGTTGTAGTCGTCCCAAACCCAGTACAGGGAAATCTGTTTAAAGAGTACAGGCTTATCAACGTAGAATCATGCCAACTGAAATTCAAAAGTTAATCTTTCTCAGCCTAAACCTAGTGAAACTCTACTTCTAAAAGGCGACCCCGTGATATCGAAGCACCATGGATTCGTGTTTTAATGAAAATTCAAGTAAACGAATCCTATATATTCAAAGTGTTTCACATTCTGTTAAGGTTATATGTTAATGTCAACGGAGTATTCTCAAATTAGGCAAATAATTCAGTTTTCCCATTTCGCATGAAACAAATCCACAAAGCTGCCGGATATTTCTTTCTTATCGTTACTCCAGTACAATAAGCTAATCTTTTACCGAGGGGCGGCATTGCTCATTAGTATTTTACAACATTATCGTTTCGCAAAGAACTCATTGAATCAAAATATTGAATAGTTATTGAGTGTATGGCGCAGATTCGAAACGAACTGCCAAATTCAGCGCTTTGTACTCTATGAGACGTTGAGTTATTCTGTATTTTCTATGACTTACGGTTATCATCCAAAAACAGGGACGACTTAACCAGACCATTCCGCAGATTTTGGCGATTGTCAAATGAGCCAAACAAGTACTAATATTGATGTCCTGTAACACTATAAACAGTGATAACACGTCTGAACCGTGTGCTTATTCGTTGGGCTTTGCTTGCAACTGAAAAATTATTTAACCAACACAGCATATTGAAACATTCCTCCTCACCTCCAAAAATTCCCTCATTGCAATTGGCCAGAACAACAACTGAACTCCACTACAAGAGAGTTACCTAGAAGAATGTTCTAATGTTCTACTTTTGCATGCCATGACTACCGTGTGACCCATTATCTGATAAACCATAATGTTTCATTCCGTATTATTCAGATACAAAAAATCCATTTTGTGATAGATTCATTTATTTGTCCATTATGTTGAAGATTGATAAGCTATTAACTCACGTATTTGCGAGACTTTTGTTATTTGTACCGTATCAAGAGAATATGACAGCCGATGATATAGATTGCTCTACACATGGTCTTCGCGGCTTAATCGTGCCGCTCACTTCTTCATCCCTGCGCTGCCAGAAGTTTGACCCGTTCGAAGGGTTATCAGAATACAAATGACCTTCAGATATGCACACGCATCGGTACTGTCTGATACTAACGATACTAATGTGTAAGCTATAAATGACGGCATATGCATTCTGGTCATAAAAATAGACTTCCACTAATTTGTGTATTTATGCATAACGATATAATATTATTATAAGTAAAGTTCAATAATCAAATGGATAGCGGAGAAGGTGAATATAAAATTCTTAAAATGTGAATGCCACTGTACTAGATAGGAATTTACCTGTCAAAGTTATCGACCATTGGCCATGTGTTGCGAATGCCTCCAGAAAGGAAGGCTAAGCAGCTGCCTCTTGCAAATCTGACCAGCAGAAGT